CCATTATATATATATATATATATATATCAGAGTTTCGACGGCTAACTCAGTTAATTAAAAACACCAAGTTGTTACCGACATCAAGATACCCCAGGTCCTGAATATATGCGTTCTAGGATCGGGCGAAGAAACGCTCGTACAGGAGTTTTCAGCAACCCTCTCCCTCGTGAAAACACCTGTGCACTTTCAAATCGTTCATTCACTAAGCTCATACGAGGGAAACCAAAGACGTTTGCACCACTACCAAACTAGAATAGACGCCAAGTTATCCGTATCCGGTTGCTGCTATTCCCAAGACGATGTCACAGGGATTGGTAACTGACCTCAGGCTTGGTCGGTTTAGTTCGTGTAGCCAGGTACGCCTGGACACTTTTCCTCGAGAAGTGGTGAGCGCCAGTAGGATTTCATTGAAAACATGTGACCGTCTTGGACAAGGAGAGCATGGTGGTGAACGAACCTCGGAGGTGCGTCTACATGATGAGCCCCAAGAAGTGCGAAACCTACAGTCTTAGAGTTATCAGCAACCTTGTGAGGAGTTTCCTTCGGCAAAAATAAGTTATCTCGAGTTGAGTTGCGTAAATTTACTTACTTGTTGGTGGAAAATTTCAGGTTTATCCAAGTATGTCCTCAAAGGAGTCGTTTGAGAGCGCGCGTCCTTAGGGGGGGGGGGCAGGTACTCAGCTCGATTTTGAATGTCACTTTTTCTTAAAGACGCTGGCAAACGTCCAAATAGGTAATTGTCGTGAAAGTAGCCTCACCACCAAGCAATGAAGATATCAGCGATTTTTCCGAGGATCTGAAGACACTTAATGAATTACCGCTCGCTCAGAATCCCAAAACATAGTTGAAAGCCCCTCGAATGGCTGTGAAGGTAAGCCTGATAAATGCTTCGCGAGCTACAATCACACTCCTTTAATCGATTTACGGTCATTCATCAATCATGCGACTGAAATCACCTGACCAGCACCACCGATCTCGTGCCAATGAAGAACAAATCAAGGAACATTGAGGTCACACATTTTATTTCCACTATGGAAAAACAGCTTTGGCTGAAAGCTCGACGTTGACGTCAGTCCTTATGAAAACCTCTTTCATCAGGTTCAGGGAAAAGTCAACAGACTGG